GGTCGATTACAAGACCGACCACGTGAAGCCGCCTTACAGTTATGCACAGCTGATCGCCATGGCCATGGAGGCTCACGGCAACCGCAAGGTGCTACTGACCCACATCTACGGCTGGATCAGGGACAACTTCGCCTACTTCCGAAACAACGACACCACATGGCAGGTACGGACGATCGTCGTCATCTCGTCGACCGTAACGTAAAGTCATTTCTTTTTTATGTGCAGAATTCCGTTCGACACAACTTGTCCCTGAACAAACAGTTCATCAAGGTGCCAAGAGATCCGAGAGACAAAGGCAAAGGATCTTACTGGATGCTGGATCCCAAAATGTAAGCATTTGATGTGGTAATAACAGTCGTCTTCAGACATGAGGCTAATGTGCCAGTGTTTGAAACGTGAAGCCTGTTAGACGGAAAGTCTTTACAACCGGACAATCACATGCACAGAGAATAGGATAAACTAAAGTTGTTAATTCTATGCCGATGATTATACAGTAATTATACAACTGAGTCCGTCACCAGGACATGAATGTTCGTGCTCTGATGATTTATGTTGGACGATGTTGTGTTGTCCAAAACGTAGATTCAATTAATCTTAGCTAAGTCTTTCTCTGCGTCTATGACCGTCGATTTGGAAGGACTTTCTGTCTGGAAGATTTCCTATTTCAAATACCAGCACCATTAAGAAATTCACAAAATACTTCATGCCCTGATCCTAGTACAAGTTATCGATCCTCATGACATTTTATTCATATTTTCCAAAATTTCTAACGATGTTGACAATCAGCCAACCTTTGCCTGAAACAAAACGGCAAATCGAATCTACTAATCCTCTGGCTAATTATTTTAGATTGAGCAAATTTGCATGATTTCATGAGCAAGCTGTTACACCTGATTATTTTTCACAAAAAGTGAGAATTATGATAACCCAGTTAGAAGGAGCATCCACTTTGTGAGAAATGTGCGTTGTAATGAAAAGGTTTCTTAGTTTGTACACTGAAGTGATCAGATGCACTACTTGGGACCTGAATCATACAATTTCGTGTGAAATTTGAATTTGTGTTTGGAGAGGCAACGCTGTGCAACGTGTTCAATTTTAGACTTCATGACTGTGGTGTCTAAACTTTGTGAGTCAGATATTCAAACTTAGGACCTTGTGAAAACTTGGGAGAATTTGTTGATGTTGGCTTAATGGCAAACGTTCATGGTCAAATGGTCATGCCCACTTAAATCAATCAATGTTCAACTTATCAACCACATAATTGAGAACTCCATTATTATACATGCTTTTCTTGAGAGGCCAATTGAGTCAACTGGCGATTATGGGCCAATCACGAGTCATTTAGGAAAGAATTTAACTTTTAGGATCAGATAGCCCATCACGTTTCACTCTTTGACGGTTGCATAGCATGAGAAGTAACACCTCTTTAGAGAAACTTGTCAGATTAGGTGCACATTCACCAAGCATAGTCGTCTACAACCTTATCAACTAACCAAACGTTGCAGTTCAATTCATGTGACCTCCATTCCGAATATATCTTATATTGTGCAGCCGGAATAAAGCACAGTGGCATAATTTCAGACGACCAACCTCAACGTAAATATCGTGAAGAGAGAACAGCAATGACAGTAAGAGACTGAATGCATGAGAAGAGCAGATAGTAAAAAAGGAGCGCGTGATAGCCGCGAACGTTTCAGTTTGAAACGTTTCAGACATTGAGTTACTCCTTGTATGCCATCGTACGGATATTAAAGCATGTTTGTTTGCCAACGTATGTAAAAGAGCGTATAACTTCCTCAAAGCCAGATTAAATAAAGATTGTTACCTCTCGCTGGAATGACTGATTTGCATTCAAATCTAAAGGCAAATGGGGGTGGGGGAAGAGAAATAGTGCAGCATCTTGCAATGTTACTTTGTACATTAAATTCCGTATTCAAGTCCCATACGCGGCATGAAAATTTCATTTCCTACTTCCCTTTAGGAAGAAATTTGACGCACGGTGCTTTGGTGCGTCCCGTTAAGAAATGGGTAGCAAGTCCTCTCTAGGAAGGACCTAGTGTTTTTGTGTGGTTGTCAGAATACGCCAGATGAAATGTCATACTATGTGATACGGGCACATCTTGGGGTTACAATTTGCCTTAACCATCAAATAGCTGATTATCTAGTGCGATAACCAATAAGAGGTGTAAATCCGCAAATATAATTATAAACTAGTGTGGTGATACTGCTTTGTTTCAACTGATATTGCCATGTCATTCAGAGGCTTCTTCACTGTGCAATTTACAGCCAAAATTAAATGTTTACTTCATCTTCTATCCATCCAAAGGGCATACAGCCCCGTGCATGTATCGTATCCTGCTTGAACAAGCAAATGCAAGTAATGATTTCCAAGTTTTCATTGGAGTTATGGTCAGCGTAGCCTTTCGCTACTGAGAATGAGGTCTGTCCATGTGTCATTGTCATTACTTCACTCGACTACAATTTTTGACTGCAACAGGTTTTATTATCATCAGAGTAGCCAGCGATGTGCATGGTTTCAGACTGATGATTGATTACTGATTGTCGATGTTTAATACTGTTTAAATATCTCATAAGATTTCATGCTCTGTCATTACCCATTATTCATGGCACAAACTAGTTGCTGAATTCACGACCATTATTATAATTATCGTTCTATATATATCACGAGTCAATAACTATGGTTAGTATGTACTCAATGGCACTCTTTATGACAAAGAACTGTAGTGCCGTAGACGGACTGAGTTTGGTTAACAATATGAGTATGTCATTGAAAAAAGTCTGTAAGTAAGTACTTTATGTGGCATTCTAAAACATTATTTTCTCCAACAGAAAAAACTGTTCAACCGTATTTGGCGTTCATGCGTCCTTTAACCAGTTTTTTCTCGTTATGGGCGCTCCATGATTGCAAACAGTGGCTTCTCTAACCGTTGTTATTCATGAACACCTTCAGCGAGTTGCTGTTCTGAGGTCGTTTCAGAGTGTCCACCCTCGTGAACTACAGCCTATGTACCTCTAACGATCATTCAGCGTAACGGAGTAGGAAAAACTGAACACTTAATGAGGCTTTGGTCACTGACGAGTGGCAGGCACCTCTATCTCAACTTAGTAAGGATGGCTCTTCAACCGTTTCCATGCCCTCACTCTAGGAGGGGGTCGAGGTTAAGTTCTCCAAATATTGCAAGTAGTGGAATCGATGTTTCCCATTTAACACCAAGCACGCTTTAAAATAAGAAGGTAATAAATATGGGATGTGGACAATAATTGCGGGTTATGCTTTAATACACATTCCTAAATATCTGCCCTTTAATACGGGTTTTTGAGGTTACTCATTTTAAATGGAAACATACTAAGCGAGTCACACTCGTCGTCGAATTGAATTGAACAATCCTGTTGAACGAAAACTGCGCCTATTAATTTGTCATCTCATGAATTACTCATCTTCTGAAGCTGTTTCCCTACATTTCAAATCATTGACATAAAACCATATGAATTTGCCTTTGGTTAAAAATGCTCTACAACTGGCTAAGTTTCTGCTTTAAACTGACGATAAGCCTGTTTCTTGCAAGAGGCAACTACCACAGTGAAAGAAATAAATTTACTTGTGATTAATTCATTCAAACGAAGCTATAAAGAACAAACAAGTCGTTAAATATGTGGAAACACACAATCACTTAAATAATTATTTACACGTATTCTACCTTTAAGATCCTGCCTTCACAATGAGACCAGTACTGATGCTTAATAGGTTCACATTGGTAACTGATTCGAACAATGATTCTAATTTTTCTGTCCTGACGTTTAGTAGGAGCAACGTCCTTTCGCAGAGGTTTGTCTAAGGACATGAAGAACCCCGCAATCCTGCTCATCATTACCTCATTATCTGAGGTTTCAGTAATGTGACAAAGAAAAAGAATAC